TACTCTAAAGCCTTTAATTGAAATCCCAGTCTATAACTATGATAAATAACAACGGCGAGGGGATGCATTGTTGTTTAGTACCTGTAGTAGATTCGAAAGAGTCACTTAACTTTCCATTACATACCTAGCTCCTTGCATTTCGATTTCTCGTAGCTTTTTTTTATAATACTTATAATCTTTTGATAATTCTTATAATTTTCGACATATATAATTTGATTTTAGTGTTAGAAGACTTTCATTATCTAATCATTATCCTATCATTATCATTACTTCCGATATTATATCATAATCAATTACGACTTTCTATATATACAATCTTATAACAATATACGATATTTACTATTTGAGATTTTTCTATTTTAATTATTATTTTAATTATTATTGTTTTAATTATTATGACAATTTTTATTAATAAATATTACTTATAGTCATTCATACCTGACAGGTTGTTATAAAAAAATAGATTCAAAAGAAATTAAGTTTTATTTCTTTGATTGTGTCTTAATAGTTAATTAAAATTATAAATTTATAATTTATTACTCATTATGAATATTAAATTCATAATTTATTATTTATTAATGGTAATTATTAATAATGATGATTTAAATGATATGTAAATAGACATTTGTGAAATAATTTGTTTATTAATACCAACCACACACTATTATACAATATTTGATCTTTATATTTATTGACTATTCAAGTCAAGATTAAATTTTGATTATTTATGTGTGGTAGATCTTAATAATCAAATTATTTCACAAATGTGGAAGTACTTATATTTAATGACATATAAATTATTCAGTTAACATTTAAAATCAATTATGTTCGTTTTTTTTTTTTGCTCTCGAAAGGTGCCAGTGTCTTAACAGAACCCATCAAATTCACACTCGGTGATAATCATGTCACATCAGCGACAACATATTCGCATGCTGTTGGCACAATCAGCGGCATTATTGCCAGCATATTGGCAATATTGCTGGCAGCAGCAGCCATAATATTCTATCGACGCCATCGAGCAAACGGTAAGATAGCTGGCAATGGTGTAGCTTTTGAAAATCCCACATACACTCGTGGTCTGGAACAAGTGCAGGTGAGTAGAGAGGATTAAGGGTTTTTTATGTTAAATACCAAATAAACATGTAAAGGTACTTGGAATTATTACGTTTTCATGTGGAAAAAAAGTTCATTTTTATTTTTTTTTATTTTTGATTTTTTTTTTATTTTAATCTCAACTGTGTATTTGTGTATTACGCTAACATGCCAAATACCCTTCAATGTTTATTGTATGTTTGTATTTATACATTCCAATTTATACGAATCTTTTTTCCAACTTCCGGTAGTTACCTACTGTGACATCAGCCATAACAAATAGCGGCACCACCTCACAGCCACCAACGCGCGATGTCACAGATGGCATCAACAGCACAGATGCGCACTCAACCCAATGCAAAGAAGTAAATCCCACAATTTATGAAGAGCTCAAACTTGGCCAAGAAGGTGCTGGATTTAAAAAACTTGTGCCATAAATGCCAAAAATATTACAAATATAAAAATCCAAAAAGAACAAAAAAAAACTAAATATATTATATACAAATATATGTAGCAGATAAGCTAAAAGCTGAAACTAGAAGCCTTGATTTATGCTTTTATGTATATGTAATTATGTTTGTAAACGTATTTGTACATTACTTCTTTATGCTCGTTATCCTGTATGGTTGGTAGTATTAACCCCAAAAAATGTATCTGATGTGTCAATTTTGGTAATTTTATTATGACTTTTATTTCCATTTTAACTTTTATTTTTATTTGTATTTTATTTTTATTTTTATTTTTATTTGGTTTGTGTATATTCGCTGTAGTGTTTTTTGTTGTTTTTTTTTTTTTGTAAATGTTGAAGTGTAATTCTGCACTCTTATAAGCTTGACAGGATTATACTCCTTAACATACACACTTCTTAACATATCTTTGGTTTTTGTTTTATTGGTTCTATTTAGTATTTTCTTTTTCTTTTTCTTTTTATTTTCTGTTTTCTATTTTCTATTTTCTACTTTTTTTTATTATTTTTAATGTTTAACACTAAAAGTGTTTTATGCTGTAAACATGAAGTATTTATTAGGTTAGTGTGTAAATTTTTACATAATATATATAAATATATATAAATTTAATTGAAATCTTCTGTGAGTGCACCGTAGTCCTTAAAAGCGTTTTGAGTGTGCAAGTGCATTTGGAGAAGGATAATTAAGTGCAACTTAAATTTATTATAACTGCATTAGTTGAAAGCAAATGAGTTAAGTGTATAAAGTACAGCTATTCAATGGTAACTACTTGACTAAATAATTAAATTTCTAATTTTAAATTCAGAAAGAATATCTGTACTTGTATTTTGTAAATTCCACTTAATTAAGATTTAATCTTGCATCTTTGTACACTCAAACTTATCTGCTAAAAATATCTTAATATTAAAATTGGTATTGTAAGTCGAAATATTATTTGTATATTGTATGTAATGTAATGTTTGTAAATATAATTTTTCAAGCACATGAACAAATTATCCTTCCCTTAGTTAAATAAAATTAGTTATATACTAGCTTAATTGTAAAAAAGAAATTAAATAAATAAAAACGTAAAAATAAAAAATAAAAAATGTAAATGTAATTTAATTAAAAAAACAAAAAAGCTCAGTTAATTGTTTTAATTTAGTTTCTCTAACAGAAAAAAAGTTTATTTATTATTTCACTAATAAAAATTAATTTAATTTTTATGCGGCCCGCACCAATAAACCACATAATTAATTTCTATAAAAAAAAAACTAACAAACACGTTAATTGCCAATAAAAACAACAACAACAACCAAAACAATAAACAACCGAACAGACTCATTACGTGTCAAGGTTCACTGGGTAAGTAAAAAAAAAGTTTGCTTTAAAATTATTGCTTTATTAACAATAAAATGAAAAATATTAGAAAGGATCAACACTACAATAGGGACACCCTACAAAATGTTTCGAAATAGTTAAAGATAAAATATATATACATACATGTAGATTTTTTAATTGAAGAGACTGTAGAACTGTAAAAACCAATAGGTCACTGCTTCTTAATGTAGGTATCAAACCTGGAGGAAAAATCTTCTAAAGATAT